TAATAATAATAATAATAATAATAAAGTTTATTTATATCCCGCCCTCCCCAGCCAAAGCCAGGCTCAGGGCGGCTAACAACAATCAAATAATCAAACAATCAAATAATCCAACATTCTAAAACATTTCATTATAAAAATTAATTAAAATCAAATTAATGGCAAACCGTTAAGCAAAGTTCTGTGCAGGTTGCCAGAGGAGGAGTCAGGCTGGGCCCTGACCAAAGGCCTGGTGGAACAACTCTGTCTTGCAGGCCTTGCGGAAAGATGTCAGGTCCCGCAGGGCCCTAGTCTCTTGTGACAGAGCTGCTCCACCAGATTGGAGCCACAGCAGAGAAAGCCCTGGCTCTAGTTGAGGCCAGCCTAACCTCTCTGAGGCCTGGGACCTTCAGGATGTTTTTATTTGCAGACCGTAGGTTCCTCTGTGGGGCATACCAGGAGAGGCGGTCCCATAGGTACGAGGGTCCTAGGCTGTATAGGGCTTTAAAGGTTAAAACCAGCACCTTAAACCTGATCCTGTACTCTACTGGGAGCCAGTGCAGCTGGTATAGTACCGGATGAATGTGATCTCGCAGCGAAGACCCCATAAGGAGTCTCGCCGCGGCATTCTGCACCCGCTGGAGTTTCTGGGTCAGTCTCAAGGGCAGCCCCACGTAGAGCGAGTTACAATAATCCAGTCTGGAGGTGACCGTCGCGTGGATCACAGTGGCTAGGTCAGGGCGAGAGAGATAAGGGGCCAACTGCTTAGCTTGGCGGAGATGAAAAAATGCCGCCTTTGTTATAGCTGTAATCTGCGCCTCCATAGAGAGGGAGGTATCGAAGATTACACCCAAACTCTTAACGGACGGTGCTGGCACCAATTGCACCCCCGCAAGAGATGGGAGTTGCCCCCCCAATCCCATATCGTCCCGTCCCAGCCAGAGGACCTCTGTCTTCGAAGGATTTAACTTCAACCGGCTTCCACGTAACCATCCAGCCACAGCTTCCAAACATCTGGTCAGTGTGTCTGGGGCCGAGTCAGGATGGCCATCCATCAACAGATAGAGTTGGGTGTCATCGGCATACTGATGGCAACCCAGCCCAAAACTCCGGACAAGCTGGGCGAGGTGGCGCATAAAGAGGTTAAATAGCATCGGGGAGAGTATCGCACCCTGAGGCACTCCACACACCAAGGAGTGGCGCGATGACAAGTCCCCCCCAAGCGCCACCCTCTGTCCCCGACCAGAGAGAAATGAGCGCAGCCATTGAAGGACTGTGCCCTGGATCCCCACGTCGGCAAGGCGGTGGTCCAGGAGTTCGTGATCGACCATGTCGAAGGCTGCTGACAGGTATAGAAGAATCAGCAGCCCCGACCCGCCTCGATCCAGCTGCCTGCAGAGATCATCTGTTAGGGCGACCCTTGGCATCCCTTCCAACTCTGCAATTCTATGATTCTATGATTCCTTTCTCCCTGCCTTGTTCACTGGGCCCTCCCTCCCCAAACCAGTAGGTACAACATAGCTGAGAGGCATAGATGTTGTTGTACTAGAAGCCCCTTCAAACCTGAACTATTGGCCATGTTTTCTGGGGCCTATGGGAGTTGGAGTCCAACAATAATAGGTCAGCCTTGTGTTGGCTAGCTCTAACATAGATGATGGCACCAGTGGAAGCTTTTTAGAAGAAGAAGAAGAAGAAGAAGAAGAAGAAGAAGAAGAAGAAGAAGAAGAAGAAGTAGTGGAGGAGGAGGAGGAGGAGGAGGAGTTCGGATTTGATATTCCACTTTATCACTACCCTAAGGAGTCTCAAAGCGGCTAACATTCTCCTTTCCCTTCCTCCCCCACAACAAACACTCTGTGAGGTGAGTGAGGCTGAGAGACTTCAGAGAAGTGTGACTGGCCCAAGGTCACCCAGCAGCTGCATGGGGAGGAGCGGGGAATCGAATCCGGTTCACTAGATTACAAGACTACCGCTCTTAACCACTACACCACACTAGCTCTCGCCTTTAGAAGCCTAACTGCTGCATGTGACAGGACAAGGGCATTAATCACATCTCCTTGCTTTATGTTTTAGTGCATATGCCAATGAGTGTCTGGAAACAGATGGAGACGGGCGTTTCTGAAAGCTGACACGACTTTCGTTGTGTGAATGAGTTCTACGCTGGGGTCATTTCTCAGCTCAGGGGGCCAAATTCACTTCTTGGAAGCCCCTCAAAGGCCACATGACAAGTGGTGGGCAGGACCAGAGGCATAAGTGTGGCGATAAAGGGAAATTCCATTCAGTGGCGTAGCGTGGGGGGTGCAGGGGGGGGCCGGCCGCACCGGGCGCAACATCTGGGGGGGCGCGCTCGCACTCGCAGCTCTCTGCCCCTACCTGGCTCACTCACTCTCTCTCACTGCAGTGCTGGCTGTGCGAATCCGATCCGAGCCTCTGGGTCGCCGCCCACTGTGGAGGGGGTGGGTGCCAGGCGTGCGGTGCGGAGAGAGAGCGAGGGACTATCTGGGGTAGGGACAGTGCAGCGGCCGCCCAGCGCAGCTCTGAGCGCGGGAGAGAACCACACCAGACCAGCCCAGGCAGCAGCAAGAAGCAGCTGGCAGCGGCGGCAGGTTAGGGGTTAGGGGGCGCAAATTACTTGCCTTGCCCCGGGTGCTGACAACCCACGCTACGCCGCTGATTGCATTTATTGCACACTAACACACCCCTCTTTAGCTTCCTTCCTGGCATTGTCAGAGCTCAAGGACATAATCCAGCTAGGCAAAAACAGTTGGGGCGCAAAGCGGGCCCAGTAAGTGCATGATGCCTGGGGATATGAGGTGTGGCCTGAGGAGAATTCTGAGGGACAGACAGAGAGGTCTTGAGGGCTGCATTTCGGCACTTGGGCCTGAGGTTCCTCACTCCGATTCTACACTATCTCAAAGCATCTAAACTGGGAGGCAAGAAGCTGCAGTCCGTGCTGTGTTTCAGGAAAATGCCTTCTACACATTAAGTAAGCAGGTGAGTAAGTAAGTAAGTAAATGCGCCCCCCCAATGCCTATTATAAGTAGGGAACAATGCCACCTCTGCCATTAAGGATGCTGGCCAAGGAAGTGATTGATTGCAGCCCAGCTCAGGTACAGAACACTGTGTTTCACCAATCTTTGCGCTTTTCGCTCGAAATGAAAAGCTTTGCTTTCTGCTAAGCATTCGGTCCCACAATTGCTAGATTAAAGGGAATGGAAGCAATCTGTCCTAGAGCTGCCATATGTCCAGATTTTCCTGGACATTACCTGTATTTCAAAGGTGGAATTGACGTCCGGGGTGGGTGGGAAGTTCCAAAAGGTAGCACTTTGTCCTGGATGTTAGGCAAGTCAGAAAAAAAGCTCAACAATTTTGGGGTGTCCTGGTTTTTACTTGTTGAAATATGGCAACCCTACCTATTCACCAATTTGCTACTCCCTTGGTTTAATGTTGACGGGCTTGGCGTTAAGAATGCGGGTTCTGTAGAGCTGATCCATTGCATTGTCTTCACTTCCCCCCTTCTGCCCTGAGGACACCCAGCCCTAGGAGAACAAACTGACAAACTATTATTTTAAAAGGACACCAATGTAATATATTTAATCCTGCCGAGGCTGCAGGAGATGCTGTTTCAATGAATGGAAGGAAAGAGGTTTATAGATGGACTTGTATGTCTTATGTCCATTGAATTAAATCAGGTGCTATTTGGAAAGGCTAGGTCCAGGATACTTGCTCTAGTGCTCTGCCAAAAATTTCTCACACACTTTTTTTAACCTATTCTCCATCAATTAATGAGAAAAGAAATTGCACCCCAAAATAATTGAAGGAGAGAGCTTTGGGGAGCAGAATTCTCATTATCTTAAGGTTGTAAAATTGGTGTTTCTGACTGCCCTTTCTTTCATTTTACAGATACTTTTGTCAGTGGTCTGCACTCTTCAGCCCTCCAAGGTGCCCATGTTTCAATTAAATCCCAAGGGAAGAACTTGGGAGGTAACTCCTCCTATGGACTTTTTTCAGATCAGGCAGCTGGGGAGGCTGCAAAATGCTGTGGAAACATTTGCTGGAAGTAAAATCCCTGGTTACCTTTCAGAAATAAGGTAAACTCAAAAACCCAAACCCTCTGAAATTCTAACATTCCCCGATTATTGGGCAGGGGAAAAAATGAAACCTCTTTTGCCGGGGGGGAAATACTAGAGAAGTCAGAGGACAGATTTTGGCACAGTGCTGAGCTGCACACTCTAGTGCAAAGCCATCTGTTTAAGGAATGACAGTCCCTTTATGACAAGCAGTGAAGGTCTCCTGGGGAAGATAATCAATGCATGCTTGCAAATGGACACTTTTATATCCCTTATATTATAATTGCAACAGCACAAAGTAGTAAACGTAAACAGCCCCAAGTTATCAAGGTTGACACCTGGCTCCTAAAATACTATAGCATGGAGTTCTGATTATTCTCCCTGTTATGAATAGCACAGTTAATAATAATAATAATAATAATATAATAACGCCCCACCCATCTGACTGGGCTGCCCCAGCCACTCTGCGCAGCTTCCAACATATAGAAAAACACAACAAAACACTAAACAACTTCCCTATTCATGGCTGCCTTCAGGTGTCTTCTAAAGGTTGTATAGTTACTTGCCGTATTTGTTGCTCTATAAGACTCACTTTTTCCCTCCTAAAAAGTAAGGGGAAATGTGTGTGCGTCTTATGGAGCCAATGCAGGCTGCGCAGCTATCCCAGAAGCCAGAACAGCAAGAGGGATTGCTGCTTTCACTGCACAGCAATCCCTCTTGCTGCTCTGGCTTCTGAGATTCAGAATATTTTTTTTCTTGTTTTCCTCCTCCAAAAACTAGGTGCGTCTTGTGGTCTGGTGCGTCTTATAGAACGAAAAATACGGTATCTCCTTCACATCTGATGGGAGGGCATTCCACAGGGTGAAGGTGTCTTATTTGGAGCTAGACTGTTGACTAATCCAGTATTGTCTGCTCTGACTGGTGGCCTGAGTGTCTGATGCCCAATATTCTTTAAACTAGAGGGGCCAAGGATTAAATTTAGGACCACATACACAAAAGGTATGTGCTCTACTACTGAACTATGGCCTCTCCATTGCAACGGGTCCATCCATCTCAGGCCAATGGAGATCATGACAGTGATGACCAGAACCAGGTGCTTGCAAAACATTGAACAGGTGGGACTGAAGTAGGTAGGACTAAGGAGCAGCGACCTGCTCAAAGTTATCCAGTTAAGCTTCATGAATGAGGAAGGTTTAGAAACTAGCCCCAATCCTTTGCACTAAATTGCCCCAGGTGTTACCCGTAATAGTATGCTAGGGGACACATCCAGCTTGACCATCAGTAGCTTTTTAAAACCAGAGCTACCTAGGATGGTTAACCAGGCATAAGCAAACTTGGCCCTCCAGATGTTTTTGGGACTACAACTCCCATCATCCCTGACCACTGGTCCTGTTAGCTAGGGATCATGGGAGTTGTAGGCCAAAAACATCTGGAGGACCGAGTTTGCCTATGCCTGCTTAAAACCTTCTGCGAAACAAGGTCTATGCTGAGCAACGACCTTTTGCTACGGAGCTGTGGCCATCTGACTTCACTCGCAGAGAGGGCAGATCCACAGCTCAGCGAGTAGAAGATATTGGCTGGCATATGCTCTTACATGAACGTATCACCTGGGGTGAAAATCCGCCCGTGCCCAAAACAAAGCCCGAAATAGAGGCGCCCATGCCAGAGCCCGTGCCTAGACCCGAGCCACCTGCTCTCTCACTGTCATGGGGCTGCCAGGGAATGTCCCAGAGCTGAGGGAGGGGGAAGAACAGAAGCCTTTAGAAAAGAGAGGAGAAGGAGAGGAGGACAAGCAAGCAGAAGGAACTCAAGCTGTGAGGACGCTCCCGGATGCTGGAGAACAGCAACACCACTCGACCAGTTCAGGGACAGAGGGAGATTCGATGCCCATTCCTTCAGCACAGGACAGGAGGAGGTTAAAACGTAGGGAACAAAGGAGGCGCTTGGGGCTTCCTAAGCTCCTCTGCTGGAGGAGGAGCCAAAAGCTCCCACTTCCTGGATCTGCTACCGAGGATTCGCACGCATGAAGCTATGTTCTGTACCTTGTAAATATGATGTAAATAAAGACTGTAAATATATCTCTGAGTGAGCAGAGGTATTCCTTGTGAAAGGCTTCCAGACCCATCACACTCACACACAAATTTACTCCCCTCCCAAACCCGGACATTTGCTTAAAATTGTAAAAATCCCCCCAAATGGACACCTAGGCCCTCCAGAAAGGACATGTCTGCGATTTCTGGACATATGGCAACCCTACGCCTGACACACTTCTCCAGTGGACTCCGTACCACCACAGCAGATATATAAACTAAGATCTGATTTGATTCAGATAATGGCTACCTTCCTCGTCACAATTACAACTGACTAGCAAAGATAGGACAAATCTTTATGATGGGAGGAAAGCAGCTAAGCTGAATACAAAGGGTTGGAACCACAGACATCCCCCTCACTTGAGAAAGATGTCTTCCTCTGATGGAAGGGTTACTTCACACTTTGTTCTATAGCAGGGCTGGGGAGTCTATGGCTCTTCTGAAATTGCTGGACTCCAAGTCCCATCAGCCCCAGCCTGCATAGCCAGCAGTCAGGGATTATGGGAGTTGTGGTCCTACCATGTCTAGAGGCTCCCCAGCCCTGTTCTAGAGTAGGGTTTCCCCAGACTTGGGTTTCCAGCTGTTTGGAGGCTACAATTGGACTACAGTTCCCATCATCCCCGACCACTGGTCCTACTAGCTTGGGATGATGGGAGATGTAGTCCAAAAACAGCTGGAGACCAAAGTTTGGGAAACTTGATTCTAGAGTATCACACTGGAAAAGTGGAACTAAATCAAAAGATGTTTTTTCCACTTGCACAAGAACTTATGAAATCTCTTGGGAAGAACCAGAATTGCTACAGAACCTCTCTCGTATAGTGCCATGTTGATTTATGTGCAAGTTCTTGCACAAGCTTTTGAGGGGAATCACTCAATGAGGTTGTGAACATGGGACATAACAGAGATGACTACAATAAATAGGTCAAATTGGTGAAAATTAGGTGGCCCAACAATGTGTTGCTTTAATACTCTCATCTGAAGGCTTCAAGACCGTTTGACAAAGAGTTTCATTTGAGGGCCTAGAGCAGATTCAGTTAAGAGATTTTAACTGAAAAAGCTCATCTATCTCTCCCTAGTTACATTAATTGGCTTCAGAGTTGAAAACCCTTTTGAAGAATTATGATTTTACTGCGCATAGTCATCAGGGACTTGTGAAAAATGGACATTATGGCTGGCAATTTGAAACAAATGGGAGGGATGGAATCATTTGTGAACATAATTCAGGCTTAACTATAGCAAAGTGTTTCATAGAGTGTCACACAAAAGACTTATCTACAAGGGCAATAAGTACAGTTGCAGGGTGCAGTGAGCAAAAGAATTAGTTGGAACATCAAAGGAAAATGATACTTATTTGATATAGGAGTAGAGACTGATTCTGTTCTTTTTAATAATTAAAACATTAGTACTACTAACACAGAATATTATATTCACAAATAAATCAATTGCGCCCCCGCCCAATAGTACTTAAGTGCTGGAGCAGGTCTCATCTCCCCACTGCGCACATATTTTAAATCACTTGAATTTCTAACATGGTCAGATCTGGCATATTCTGATTTTCTTTGAGCCTGATGAGAAATTATCTACATTTCTGGGGCAGGTGTGTGTGTGTGTGTGTGTGTGAAAGATAGATAGAGAGAGAGAAATGCTGTATTATATAAAATGGGACGGTCAAGGTACAGACCATGGTACAAAGGCTTTTTCTTCAGAGCAGCACTAGCCCAAGAAACGTTGTCGCTTGAAGCAAATGAAAAGATGGTGTCTCTCTGTGTTCCATGCACAAAAGTTGACAGAATTGGTGACCAAATGTTGAGCAAAGAGGTGTAGAGTAGGCTGAATGGCACATACTATACATATTTGTCTTCCACAACCTCAGTGCCACTCCCTGCCTCCTGGCAGTGGCCTCCCTCCTCTGCATAATAGTAGGGCCGGCTCTGGTGAACTCAAGCTCTCTTTAAGAGGCAGGCTCTTTCCATCCCCCTCTCTCACTTTCTCATGGTTAAATTCTAGTCAAACATATACAGTGGTACCTCGGGTTACATACGCTTCAGGCTACATACGCTTCAGGTTACAGACTCCGCTAACCCAGAAATATTACCTCGGGTTAAGAACTTTGCTTCAGGATGAGAACAGAAATCGTGCTCTGGCGGCGCGGCAGCAGCAGGAGGCCCCATTAGCTAAAGTGGTGCTTCAGGTTAAGAACAGTTTCAGGTTAAGAACGGACCTCCAGAACGAAATAAGTACTTAACCTGAGGTACCACTGTACCTATATCCACACAAAACATGGAAAAAAAAATATAAAGTGGTTCAAACTCTAAAGCGATACGGTATTCTTTTGTCTTCAGTTGAAGAGGGAGAAAATGGGGTTCAAAAGGTGGAGTTTGTTTACTGCTGGGTCCTGAAAGGTTGAGTACACTTAAAGTTGGGACCCACTACAAAGCATTTCAGCAGCACTGGGCTAAGACAATGAAAGGCTCTTTACCAGTAAATGCTTGAATTTGGCATCTTTCTGGAATCTGGTGAGTTCGATGGGGAACATGCTTTTCTCCTCATTATGCTCTATCTGCGGATGAAGGAAATATTGATTTTAACTACAGAAGCAAGCGCAAGACAGATAACAATACTTATCAGTCTTCCCTTTCCATCTTTAAAGTTATTCCTGATAAGAGATTGCTGCTAATTCTTCCAACATGAGAATAGTAAATTGAGCTATTAGGCTGGTTTTCATGTAGAAACAAAGCAAGAAATCTGTTTGGTATCTGATGATAAAAGAACAGTCACAATTGTTTCCCGGTCTCACCTGTGGTGATAGATCTGAGAGAGGCAAATGGAAGGCAGGACAAAGAGGACCAAATCTGAATGCTAAATAGGAGAGCAGTCCAAGAGATCAAGAAAAGCACTCAAATCTGATTTGAAAACCCGACTGAAGTCAATTAGGGGAGTTCAACCATATCAACAGTAGTGAAGTATAACTGTATTTCCGTGTACTTAACACTTGCTCATTTTTAATCCAATCTTTGAATACATCAGGCTGATTGGAGTGGCTTTCAATAAGTTGATGTTTTGTACAGGTCAAATGAACACACCTAAAAAAAAACTATAGAGGCAGACTAAAACCAAAGTCTGATTATTTTAATATTATGTTTTGATCTTTTCTTTTTTTAAGGTTTCTTTGGACTGATGCAGAGATTGGATTTTGCCACACACAATTTTTTTAAAAAATGTTTTGCATATTTGAAGCTCATTCTTGGAAAATTCAGAAGGGACAAGATGTACTGCGTCTTCATGTGGCACACATTTAAACCACTCGTTTTATCATCCATCTCAAAAGGCCAACGCTATAACATAGTTGCAATGTTAGCAGCAGCTTCAATCACTGATCTACAAAGTACAATCTCTAGACATTATTCAGTGCCCTCAGGGCTACAATCCTACACACTCACCTAGGAGTAAGTCTCATTTAACTCACGTTCTGAGTAGGCATATTTAGGATTACACCATCAAATCTCATGGATTTCAGTGGGAGAAATGTAAGAATTAACTCTCTCACTTGAATCAATGGTGAATGTAAAAGTGCTTTATGTTAATTAGATTGTGCCCTCATTGTAGATCATAGAATTGGCTAACCTGTAGCCGAGGCTTCCGCAACCTCGGCCCTCCAGATGTTTTTGGCCTACAACTCCCATGATCCCTAGCTAGCAGGACCAGTGGTCAGGGATGATGGGAATTGTAGTCTCAAAACATCTGGAGGGCCGAGGATGAGGAAGCCTGCTGTAGCCCTTCAGATGTGCTGGAGTCCAGCACCCATCAGCCCCAAGCCAGCCCAGCCAATTGTCAGGGGTGATGGGACTTGTAGTCCAGCAAGATCTGGAAGGTCATAGATTTGCCACCTCTATTGTAGATCAATATGTAACTGTCTAGAGCAGTTTTCCCCAAACTTGATCT